TTGCTTGCCTATTACCTTTTAACAAGAAGTACCTTTCACATAATAATAATACTACTACTACTACTACTAATAATAATAATAGTAGTAGCAAAAGCTCTTACTTGTTCTAGACTAAAATAAAACATTTAAGTGTTTCTAGATTATGGAACATTTTCACAGGCAAGTGTCTAAACTGAAAAAACATACATTTCTCTGGATTTACAGTGATATAATTGAGATGGAAAGCAGATGCTGTTCTGTAACCAAAAGCCCAATTATGTCAATCAAATGTATCTTCAGGAAGTTAGAAAACTACACAAAACTTGATCATCCTGCTAATATTAATATATAATTAGTTAATGAGCCCCTACAGAGGGGAAGTAATTTAAAAAATTGTAGTGCTCACTGCATTTCATTTTAAAGACTAATGTCACTCATGAAAAGGTACACTTAACTGGGTTTTTTGAATTTACATTTCACTACCATTTTATTTTGTGGCAAGCTTTGTAATTCATTTAGGAGCTCCAAAAAGACAACTTCAATGAAAGAAATCACAAGTCCATTGTGTATATGAAGTAATTATTTGTCATCATGGATATTTTATGAGAATTTTGTGAAGCTGTAGCAGATGGTGAAACTTTTACTTCAGCTAGAAAGAATTTTTAAAAGTAGCTCTATTTGATTTAATCAAATACATTTTACACACATTAAGAGATTACAAAACATCTTTAGTCTCCTGACTTTCCAAAGCTCCTTGACATGTAATATTTTGTCAGCAAATTTTGACACAGAGTCAAAGCCAGCTGAGTAGAATCAGCTTATGCAGAAAATGATGCATGGAATTTTAATCTATAAAAAACTCTGGACAGTTTTGTAAACTGTAATAAAATAAAAGATGGAATAAACCCATGGAAATCAGGATTTGTACCTTATTACAAAAGAAGTGTATTTCTCTTGTAAAAGGGAGAATAATCAGTTATCAGTGAAGACTTTCAGGCTTTGGATGTAGTACTCCATCCCTAGTAACATGGATATTAACATAACATGATTTACCTCAATCAGTGGAGCTGCTATTCTTTCAAGATCACTGTGTGCATTCATGAGCTTCCACCAACAGAAATTTTTGTTGTCTAAAGAATCCTTTTAGGAGATTTGAACCATTTTTTCCAGCATTGCTGTGTTTGTTTCAAGAACTTTGCCCATACTTCCCCCAACTCCAGGAGTTAATAGAAAGGTTGGTGAAGGAGACATGAAATTGGAGACTTAGATGTACCAGAACAGTCCAACACCAGTTCCCAGACTGACTCTACCATGGGCATACTTCTTCATATTTACTCCTCTCTAAAACATGTGCTATTATCCCTTTCTCCTTTCATCACATATCTTACAGTTTTGAAGACACACAGAATCTTTGGTCTTAAAGGCTTCAATATCAGTTTGACAACTGCTTTTAGCAATGAAACCTGGAAGTGAAAAAAAACCCCTGGAAGTGAAAAAAAAACCTGGAAGTGAAAAAAAAAAACCTGGAAGTGAAAAAAACCCCTGGAGGAGTGAGGTAGGGAAGAAGAGGTAGATAAAACAAAAGGAAGGAATATGCACTGTCAATAGCAATATCATCTTCTCCAAAGCAACTATAATACTGTTTTATGTCACAAACAGTCCACCTGTGTGAAGCCACCCAAATGTAGTTTCTTTGGTGTATGGATCGCAGGAAAGCAAAAACCCAACCTAGCTCAAAATACTGTTACATATATAAAGCAACCCTGAAACTTCTGATCTTTGCAGAGAGGACAGTAACTCTGTGAGTATTAAATTCTACAAACTTCTAGAAATAGCATGGGGTTTTTTAGTAGAATGAGAAAAATATATTTTTCCCCTAGAACAAGCCTTTGTCCTTTAGCTTCATCCAATGCAACTTAACAATTAAATTGAAACACAAACATTGACTTGGCAAACACTTGAAGTAAAATCAACTTGATTACACTTGTTCTTACTACTTCCCCCAGCAGAAATTACAGTGTAGAAAAACTGCTTTCCTTGGGAATTGTGGGCACACCATGTGTTGTTATGGCATAGCAAGACAATCACCTTAGAGGTGAAAGCAGCCACATTAAAGTCTCCTGAATGCCCAGTGCCAGACAGGCCAATGCACTCCAGGAATATTCCTGGATTGTTGTTCTCTGCCTATACTCTGGGAGAACACAGCAGCTGCTCAGGGCCAGGTCAGGCACTTTGGCCTCACGCTGTGCTGAGCAGGAAAGGTGTTTCACTATTTCAGAGTTCTGTTTAAAGCTCTTCTTCCTGATTGTTACTGTCACAGTTTGCAAGAGAATTCAGCAGGACACTGTATTTCTAACCTCTTTCTCAAAGAGTTCAGCAGGTTGTAACATTTCTAGTTCTTCTGTTTTGCAAGGCTAAAAGATCCAAGGAATTATTTTCAGCTCAACTCTGTTGTCTCTTTGCCATGATAGCCTACACAGCTTGGAATTCTGCATTGCAGCTCACATATCCAGTGAAACACCACAAACACTGAATTATTTCCATGAACTTGATTCCTTTTCCTTTTTCAAAAGAAATTTGTAAAGGACAGTGAAATCTTGCAAGAGAAAGAGACTTGATGACTCCCACGCTTGCAAGTTAGAATATACCCAGCTGTCATTTTAAAAATGCTAAAATTGCAGTAATTTCAGATATTTTAAAATTTTGTTGCTTTTTTCCATTGCTATTAAATGATAGTGTCCAACTTACAAAAGGCTTCTAAAACTATTTTGCTTTACAATTGCTCTAGGGTAGGGAAAAACATTAGTAGCCTAGATTAAACAAATGGATGGTATCCATGTCTCCACAGAAACTTGAAAAAACATTATTGATTATTGGGAGTTGGGAAAATTGACCAAAAACATGAGATAGAATAAACTCCATATTAAAAGGTTAATCATTGCCTTCCTTATTCATGTAAAAATACATCCTTTGAACAATCATGTGGGTAAAATTAAAAGTGAAAGTGTTCACAGCCTCTAGGACACTTAATTTTAGGGAATTTGGAGTGCTATTTTCTATTTACCCTTGGTAGTTGCTCTCTCAACTCCAACAAAACAAGGAGAAAAAAACACCTGATATGGAATACAGGATTCTAAAGAGCACTATTTACAATGACATGTGAAGAAAAGTGTACTAGCCAAACCTTCACATGTTCTTGCACTGCCTAAATTTCAAGTTAGCAAATTCTCTATGAAGGTTACTCTCTCAATATAATGGCTGAGATTTTGAAATACTGCTATACCTGCCTTTAAATCATGCTAATTCATGAGTTCAGAAAGGATATATCATACAAAGAAAAAATAAACATTTATTTAGATGCTCTTCCAATCCTCAGAAAAAGTTCTTTTTTAGGTTTTCTCTGAGTTTTATAGTGTTTATTTTGTCTGTGTCTATTATTTTCTCTATGTCTGTAGATTTTCAAGTTCATAATCCGGGAGCTGGACTTTGAAGATCCTTAGGAGTTCCTTCCAACTCACAATACTGCAGGATTCTCTGACTTTATAATTCTATATGTCTAATCAGAGATGGAATCACTGCAGCCTTTGTCTCTGCATGGGACTAACAGAAAACCACTATAACAACCTTGTGAACTCTTTATCTTTCTGTTAATCTTATATGAAACAGAAAGTATGTTTTGTTTTATTTTCCTTCCTATTCCTCTAATTGTTTATGGGACTGAAACATTCCTTTTGTTCTGTTTTAGGAAGGCACTAATACCTGGATTATGATCATGTTCTCTTTTCTGATCCTATCCTCTCTCACACTTAGCTGTAAAAGTTTCTCCTCAGATGGAAATAGGAAACACCCTCAGGAGATGTTGCAGTAAGGATATTCCTGTATACTGCTGAATGGTTTGAAGAAGTTCCCTTCTTTGTAATATCCTTAATTCACACGTTTTATATTTTTCCCCCACCTCCTAATCTTGTTCTCTCTCTTCACTCATATCTTTCTTTTTACAATCCTCCTAGGATAATCCAACCTGGATGTTTAATTGAAAAATTCTCTTCATATTGTAAAACTGCCACATCACCTGCAGCTACACCTTGGCTTGTAGTAAATGTACTACTTCCTTCCCATCCTTTCTTTTTGTTTTCTCTTTCAAGTGTGAGATCATCAGCTAAATAGCCTACTGATTATTGGGAGTTGGGAAAATTAACTTAAATCATGAGACAGAATAAACTCCATATTGAAAGGCTAATCATTGCCTCTCTTATTCATGTAAAAATAGATCCCTTTAACAATCATGTGGGTAAAATTCAAAGAGAAAGTGTCACCTTTGTACAATGTCTGATAGTTCAGGCCCTGCTCTGAACTGTCCACACTAATTGATCTTTCACTATCTACCTGCTAAGCCCAGAGGAATCAACAGACATATTGATAACCCACTTGGGAGAGGGAAGCACTTTACCCTGTGCCTTTAGAATGGAGAGAGGCAATGTCCCAGATATTCTCTTTCCTTTTGCAGCAGTTCCTGAGTTTGCTTGCTTTGAGGCTGCTTTCTTGAAGCTACCTGAACAGTCTTTAGCAGGTGGTGACAGATAAAACATGGAATTACATTATATTTCTGATTTCCTTATCTGCTACCCTGAGACACAACCTTACCCTGTGAGGTCTGATAGCATTAACCTCTCCCCAAACTGGGGCTGACAGTCTTTCCAAATTCTGCTTACTGAGAAGTCCACTGATGATGGAGTTTTGCATGATGTGTACTTGGCATCTTCCACTCAGCAAGTACAGCCATCTGTTTTAGTTCCTCATCGTACCAGTCAGCCCTTCAAAACTTCATGGACAACTTTTTCTAACATTAAAATGCAAAGACCTCCATGCAGCAATAAGGAGGAAGGGAGAATAAATTAGGCAGTGCTTAGAATAGGAAAGACAGCAACCCTTAGATAAGTTATAGATGCTACATTCTCATTTGAATGTTAGCACGTTGCTAAGGAGATGGGCAAGGAAGAGAATTTGCAAGGGGTACCTACCTCAAGGAGCAGGGTGAGAGAAGCAGGTTTCCATCTTCCCATCAGCTGGACGTCAGTTCAGAGCTGAGGACAACATCCACTGTACAAGATGTTGCTCTTTATCCCAATCTTCAGCTCAAAGCACCTGGGATACATTCTGGGAATCCTAAGTGAAAGAGACTGAAGATCTGTAACGTCATCTCAATTTCACACATATTAAGACAGAGAGAAATGAAAAATTTGCTTCAGGTTACCCAGCGATGCCTTTCTTATTCAAATAAACCACCATATTAAAACAAACTTAAATAGTGACAGCATTAAATAAGTGCTGGATTTGGTCCACAGATCACAGCCATAGGAGTGGAGCTGTACCACAGATATTCCACCAAGAGTCTCTGTTACTAGATTGTGGTACTTCTGTTAGAGACAGAAATTCAGACAAAAAGAAAGCAAATGGCAGCTCAAATTAAAGCTGCTGAGCATTCCAAACTAATTTAATCTCTTGAAACACAATTCTTTCAAAATAAAGATGTTTAGAAACAGCAGTTTAGCTGTTCTAAGCATGCTAGCACCATCACCAGAGAGATTCATGCTCTGGGGAATTAGAAATACTCATCTATGCTCCCTGCATTATAATCAGCCAATCTCGTTATGCCTTCCTGCTTTATAATTATAGATCTTATTAACAAAGATGAATTTCATGAAAAATAGGCATTACAAATTGCACGTTTTTCAAAAGAAGAGGGAATAATTTAGTTTTGTATGCCAGTGAGATTGTTTCCTCGTTTAGAGAGAAAGTTTAGGTTTAGTTAATAACTACCTATCTGGCCTTTTCAGCTGTTCTTTTTGGTGTTAAGCACGACAGTCAGGATGTCAGTTATGACATGAGGTGGCCTGGGTGGCCAGAGCATGTGGCTTTTTAGGTGCCACTACTGCAATGGCACACTGAACAGTTCATCTCTGCCCAGAAGGCCCACAGCCTTTTCCTGCAACCTGGAGTAAGCTGGGAAGTGTGGAAGCACATAAGCTCCCACTGCATGTACAAAACCAGGATATGACCAGTGTCAAACAGCAAAGTGGGTTGGGGGAACAAGTACAGTTTATCAAATCCCTGAGACGCAGGCACTGGTCTGATGGGATTTCACTATCACAGTTCTCCTTGAAGACAGCCATGTCTGTAACTATTGGAATATGAATCCAAATATTACCAGTTAGATTGTGCCTGGGCCAGTCTGACCCTCGCGGCTGAGCCAAAGGCGGCTTCTGTGGTGCATCACCCCAGAGACACCTTTAGCTTGCTGATGGTTTCAGCTGGGCACTAAACAAGTCCAGGCTTGTTAGGGACTCCGTTTACCTTAGGAAGAAGGCTTCAGGCGAAGGTGAGGACAAAGGAGGGATTCTGCTGGAGGGTTTAATATCCAGAGGTTTATTCCATGGTTACAGAGGTCTGAATCTTGGGAAGAACTCCAACAGAATCGCAAGCACATGGCCTGCTTCACCTTTTAAGCTCAGGGGGTGGGGAGGGGAGGGGACAGGTGAGCCACCAACCAGGTGGGAGGGGTGGGGTCTCAAGGGACGAGGGACACCCAGACAGGCCAATGACCTCTGGGCCTGAGAGCCATCCTTTGAATTTGACCAACCACACGACACCTTTGCTGGAATGTTAAGCCTGATTGACAGGACTCACTCAGCAAGGGGGCGAGGGGGGAAGGGAGGGTTTTGCACACCTGGGTAAGGGACCCAGAAGTTTAAAACACACTGAAACATGTAACAGTGAGAGTATTATCTACCTGAACTCCTCAAAGAATTCTTTTAGTCTGTGGGAGGGAAAGGGATCACTTACATAGTGACTAATCAGTTGGTTTTAAACTTGCTAAAGACATGAACTGGTAGAGCAGAGAACTGACCACAGCTTGTGGTTTGGTTTCATCTTTTAAAAGGAATCTCACACTAAGTTCTCCACACAGAGAAAGAGAGACCAGGAACAAGGAATCCTCTTTATGCCAACCTGTAATGTTAAAAACTGACCCTGTGTAACACTGAGATGATTCTGATAAAGTTACTATTCTTACATACTGTTCAATTACCAGTATTTTAATGTTAGAGGAAGGAAGAGAATAAGAAACCGTATTTGGTGTAAAGTTTTTAGCAGGGTCTGTTGGGATAGTACAAAAGGTAATGATTTTAAACTAAAATAGAACTTAAGATTAGGAACACAGAAGAAATTCTTTACTGTGAGGGTGGTGAGACACTGGAAGAGGTTGTCCAGAGAGGTGGCAAATGGAAATATTCAAGGTCAGGTTGGATGGGGCTCTGAGCAATTTGAAGATGTCCCTGCTCATTGCATGGGAACTGGACTAGATGACCTCTAAAGGTCCTTTCTAACCCAAACTACTCTATAATTATATGAGTTGATGAATGACAAGGAGAAATGACTGTATGCTGGCTGTAATGCACACACCCATCCTTACCTATGCCCCTTCAGGACAGGGCAGAGGAGTTTGGTGTAAGGGACTGAAGCTCAGCATGGGAAATGGGGAGGAAAGGTGTTGTAACATTTCTTTCTCACTAGCCAAATATATTTTAATTGGGAATAAATGAAATTAATTTTCACCAAGTGTATTTTGCCCATAACAGAAGATGATAAGTAATCTTTCTGTCTTTGTCTTGACCCATGAACTTTCCTGTGCCTGTTGTTGTTCTTATTTTCTCCCTTGGTCACGCTGAGGAGTTGGGAGCAAGAGAGAAGCTGGGTAGAAATTTGGTCCTTATCTACAATTAACTCACCACAGCAACACATGATTAAACCTCTTTAATCCCAAAAATCAGCAGGAATCTGTTACTTCAGCTCCAATGTGTTTCTGAAAAGCTTTTGTAAGAGGTACTGCACCTTAATGTTGCTTTGATGAAAGAAGTCTTTAGGCAAGACAAAGCATAATTTTCCCACTATCAACAGGGAGTCCTGTTTCAGTATGCCACACTGCTACAGTTCACTGCTACAGTTTATAGGCAATAAAGTAAATTTATTCATTTGAGAATACTGTTTCTTATATCAAATAACTTTTAACAGTTGATAAATGGAATGAACTGTAACCTGTATGAAGAGGAGAAAATGAAAAATTCATTTCTTAAAAGAAGGGAGCATGACAAATAAGCAAATTAAGGAATATTAATATTCAACTCCACTCTTCCTTTTTGCAAGAGCTGGCTTGAAAAATTCTTGAAAAACAGGTTTCAAATGATAAATGCCAATTTGACAGAAGATAATTGATGGAAGAATGCATCTACTCACTGAAATTGCTCAGCAGGAACCTTGTTCACCTGTCAGACTCTGCAGGCTGATGTATTTCTGTTAGACAGCTCCCATGCTCCAGGGAAGATGAGGAAGACTTCCATGTCTGAAGTTTGTGAGCTTTTGACTTCCAGGTCACTGAGGCAGTGAGAAATCCTTCTGCAATGTCTGGAATGTAGTGCCTTGAAATCATTTAACACAGATGCTGTACTGTGAAAATAATAATCCTGCCTTACAGATATAAAGACTCTCTAGATGCAAGCTGGCCTTACACAAAAATGTGTACCTCTTTGAAATTTCAGGTCTTTGCATCCTTAAAGAAAAGAGTTCTGTTCAGAAAATGGGAGAGTCTGCCTTGTGCCTATAGGTCAGTGGATCTGATCATCCACCACCTGTGTTTTTAACCTCATGAGACTGCAAAAGTCCTTTTAGAGGTAGAGCTGTCATTTTATAATCTGAGCATTTTGCTTTCCTGCATCAGGATTCATCTTTCACTTGTTCTGGAAGAGAAAGCATAATAGTATTTAAAAACTTTTTAAAATTTAAAATATTCCATTAAGTTACTCTCATGTAGCCTCCCGCAAATGGTACTCCCTCTAATGACACTACAAAATTAAAAGACATTCTGTTGCCTTGAGTAATATTAGCTAGACCAAACAATTCTGATAATTTTATTAACTTTGATGAATTTTGAGATTCATTTTTTTTTTCCTGAGATGCAAGTATTATGGGACAGTAACTTTGGACCTGTTTTCCCAAGGAAGTGAAGAAGGAAGATCACATGGCACTGTACTGCAAGTCCTCCCCTGCCTAAACCTGGGGCTCCACTGAGCATTTCAAGCTTCAGAGAGATACACAGCTCTCAAAGACAGCAAATTCCCATACATTTTGTGAAAACTGATTGCTGGAGATGGATCGAAATGAGTGCTCCCACTAAGGAAAAGCCAGTTGCAGATCAGCCAGTTGGCCAATCACCATGGATATAATGAACAGGCAATCGGCACACGCTTATTTCAGCAGCGGCATATGTTGCCACGTTCTCAGCCAAACTGGCAAAAGACATGAGAAGGAGCTGGAAGAAGTACTTGAGCACTGAGAATGGGAAGGACTATGGAATGTGGGAGACAAAAATAGTTTTTAAAAACTTCATTAGTTCCACTGCTCACAGAACAACTTAGCTTTGGTATCTTAAAACTGCAGATTTTTCCTTGAATAAAGGAATGTGTGAATCTCTTATGGGAAAGACTTATGGATTCTGCCTTTTAGTCTGTATTTCTTGAAGTGATGATATAATAAGATGTATTTTATGAGAGCCTATGTTTCATTTGTGAACAGCATGAAAACCAGGTTGTTCTCCTTCATAGTGCGAAGGAAATGTAAAGTGAGAGCTGTTGAAAAGGATTTGCCAACAGGAGAGTGAAGATGATGCATTCTTATTCTGGTAATGACAGAATGGACTAATGGAATCATCAATACCTGTATGTAAACTCAAATCATATGAACTCAATAGAATCACTAAACTTCAGTATAAAAAAGCTGAATTGCTTTTCATTTTTCAATGTCTGTTCTTCAGCCTAGTTGATAATTTGAAGACACTGAATGGTCTATTTAAAATAAAGTAACTATTTTTAAAAATAAAATTGTCTGATACAAGTTAGATATCTAATATTTTCCTCTGTTACTGCAAAAATGGAAGTATTACAGCCATTACATGAAGTCATAAATGCACATGTATACCTATATACATAAAACATTATGTATATTATATCTCTTTTTCCTAGTCATATTTAGACTTGTTGTAGTAAACAAAGTGCCGGGAGCCTCATGCTGAAATGAGTTGCTGGACTAACATAAATATATAAGGCTAAGAATCT